CCTTCTTAGGAGCAGTGCACCCAAGTGCTCTCCAACAGCTACTATGAGTCAATATAGCTATAAATTAATGGATGTGTAAGCAGTCACAGTTGTAACTATAAAATACATCAAGACCACTTGAAACTTTAGCAGGATAGAGAAAAACTAATTTTCTGCTCCAAAAATCTCTTAACTCTTGCACTGAAGAAAAATCTCTATTTGTCACTAGGGGTGCCTGTACACAAGTGCACAGCCTGCTCTGACATGTTGTAATTACAGTGCATTGGAGCAGACTCAATTAATCAAGTCTACTGGAGCATGGTAATTACTGTGCTCCAGCAGTGTCCCGAGTCTCATGTATCGGCATCCCTGCATTTGAAAATGGCAGCAGGGATGCTTTACTGAATGAGCTTTAGTTCAAGCTCCCCCTGCCACCATTTTGAAGTGCAAGGATGCTGATACACAAGACGCTGCGGCACCTTAATTAGAGTGGCTGTCAGAGGCACTGTAGTTAAAGTGCCGCCTCTCCCACCCCTCAGAGCATGTTTAAAAGTGCCATAGCAACATACAGCCTCAGGTACATTTTTATATGCAGTCCAGTTTTAATTCTGTTGCAAATAGGGTTGTGATACTGTGATGAGTTTTTACCACCTGCTTTAAACATCAGGCGAAGAACCCAAACTTCTTTAGTAGCAACAGCTGCTGGTCAATGAGCAGGGCAACCTTGGAATTGTGTGGCAGCCTTTTTGGAGGTGTTGATAATCTCAACCTGTATTTGACATACACAGCTACAAAGTCCAGCTGGCTTGTGGTGATTTAAGCAGGCTGTGTGCCATAAAGACCTAAAAAGCCAGGAATTGAGTGGTGGCAAATGACTTGTTCTATATGTTTAGCCCTTTGCAGAAAAGCACCTACATAAATTAAGGTTATTGGGTCTTTTGACTAAGTGTTGAGTTTGCCATTATCATTTAGCATGATTTTCCCTTCCACAGGGTGGCCTGGAAGAAATACTGCAAAGGAAAAGATGTCTCCAAGTGGATCAAAGGCTGCAAACTGTAAAAAAAGAGTTGGGGGCATAACTGAGCTCAGCTCCTTTTCAAAAAGCAGTTTTTCACATAAAGCAAAATGCTCCCTCTCACTTGTTTCCCTTTCTATAACAAAATAATAAAATAAATAAGTAAAATAAAAATAAATTCATAAGAAAGGCTTATGGACTAATTGGCAGAATGCAAGTACTTTACTCATTGCTGGTAAGACTGGATATTGCCACATGACCGACTGAACAGACCTATTTTGTGTTCAACCCCTTTGAACACTGATTTCCTCTGCTATTTGCATGCATCATTTTGGCAGTGAAGTTCTGCTGCAATTCTGTTTTGCTATTCACTACCAGTATGATATGTCATCTGGTTTGATAGCATAAATTCATTAATCAATAAAATTGCTTAATTTGCATATGGCTTTGTGACTTATTGGTAAATACGCACAAGAGATTGAAGAGATTCTGACACAGCACAATATAATAAAGAGCTCAAGAACAGCACTTCATTAGTGAGTCTTAGATGCCGTCTTTCTGGAGCATCTGGCGGTTTTATCTAACTTTGGTAGACAGTTGTACACTCAGTTAGAAATATCAGAAAAACACAATTTGAGGGGAGTTACAAGTTATGACTGTGAAGTAAATACATTAATATTATTTCTCTCGCCATTTATGAAACCCATTCATTTAAAAGCTAGAGAATGAACAGACTTCATATGTTTTATCCTGCCTACATAATACATGTATGCATTAGTCCTTATTTCACAAAATACTTATCATGTGAGTAGTTTCACTGAAGTCAATGAGGGAGCAAACTAGACTTCATTGCACTTTTGAGGCACTTATATATGTGATGGGGGTTTAATCCCTAAGGGCCCTTGTACACATACTCAGCATTTAGTTGCTAAAAATGTTCCCGGTTTAATTTTTCTTTCTTCGTTTAAAACAGCTAAATAAGTAACGTGGACATGATTTACCATTAAGGGCTTATTATGTTATGACTACTAAAAAGCGCTAGAAGGCATGTCAGAATAATTTTACCCTCATGCCCCTTCAGTCCTACCTTACTGCCAGGTGGTGCTTTAGGACAAGAAATGCCCAGTCATAGCACTTCTGCCACTCTCTTTTCCTGAGTGGAAGTTGTATGGGGCACTCTTGGGGCTGAGGTGCGAGATCTTTCCGTGTTAAGCTAACCCCCAAGCACGGGGCACTCAGGCGCTTTTCTTTTGGCACCAAACCTTTCCATGCAAAGCCCTGCAGGGCTCCCCAAATGTACACAAGCATCTCCCAAGGCTGGGTGAAGGGGGGGGCACCCTTCAGGTGGCACGCTGTTTTCACAGGGCACTGGGTGTGGGGTACCTTTTGGGCTACCCTCAAGTGTGCTCAAAGCATTGCCTCTCCCCTGGCTTTGGGGTCCCAAAGGGCATCACCCCCTGCCCTAGCCCAGTGCCCCTTGCTTTCCCTGGGTGCAAGTTGAATGGGGCACTTGGCCATTTTTTGGGGCCCCAAACCTTTTCCATGCAAAACCCTGCATGTTTTGGCACAAAATTTTTGTGTGCTTACCAGGCCGGTGCCAGACTGTCTGGGTTTTTTTTACATCAGAACGAGGAGTGTCAGGGGGTGGGGGGGGTGTCTGACCCCTTGAGTGCCTATAAATTTGTGGAGCAGTGACTGACTGGGGTGCATACACTGTAGTCTTTTGAGGTAGATGAGAGATGGCAGCGCACCAGGGGCACAAGGACTCAGCCCTGCGGGACACTTGCTCTTGGGTAGCACAGCACTTTTTCCATAAGAGTGCAGCCTGCTGCTTGCTGCTCATGTCAGGTGCAGTATTACCTTTCAGTGCAGGATGAGGCAGCTTTTTGCAACACTTGAAAGAGGACACCCCGATCTATTTCACAACCAAATGGGACATTTACACATAGGTAAGTGAGAACAAACACTTGGCTGTGCCCTGGGGGAGGGAGGGCAGCTTGCATTGTTTACTTTATCTTTCATGTAAATGGGGTTTAATTGCCGTGAATGAAGTTGCTAGGTATCTAAAATTCCAGGACAATTTTCGAGGGGTGGGGGGGGTAACCTCCTCACTACCCTTCCTCGCCCCTCAGCTGCCTTGCTACAGGAGGGCTACCCCCATTTCAGGGCTGGAATGACTGCATGGTGGTTTTACAGTACAAATTTTTATGCTCTTAACTTCTCCCTCCCTCCTATTTCGAGTTCCCGAATGCTATGCTTTATATTATGCTACTAATGTCGGGCACAGCAGGCAGAAGAGAGGAACACAAGCCTGGGAAAGTCGCCTGATACCACTTCTGTCTCCAGAAAAAAGGATGGCTATGTCACTCCCAGGTGCCTATTCGATACTCTTAATATTCTTTTAGACTCCAAAAAAAGCCTATGGGAATTCACCATTAGCCTCTCTGCCTTGCTGTAGACAAATCCTCGTATTGTGTGCAGACATGAGCAACCAAGCTTGCATTTTAAATAATCCCTTCATATATTAAAAATTAATATATTTGTTTCATATATGAATATACCAGTATTTACCAATGAATATCTTTTTTGTCCTTTTTTTGCCCTGCTTCCAGCCTTCCCTCCTTCCTCCTGCTGAGTCTATGTGTCCCAGTCTGCAGTGCAATGTGCAAGATTTAAAAATGCTAAAACTTACAAATGGTCAAGCTATTTCAAGAAGCTACTTACTGAAATATGCTTCATTAGCTCATTTCAAGGATCATGTATGTAATGTTCCTTTTTCTTTGTTTGTCTTTTCATGTAGCCCAGGTAATTATCCCGAGGAATTATGCTTCCCCATGGCTGGGGGCTGCCTCTCAGCACTCCTGGTTGGTGCTGGCCTGCATGCCTCCCCTCACTCTTGCTATAGTGCAGCTTCTTTAAGAGCGCCCATTCTAGCCTGTTCCCCCATGGCTGGGGGCTGCCTCTCAGCACTCCTGGTTGGTGCTGGCCAGTGTGCCCTCTTCTCTCACTACTGCTACAGTGCAGTTTTTCCAACAACTCCCTCCCTCCCTCCCTCTTGCCTATGCTTTGCCACTTAGACCAACGGCATCCCAGCTTACACACACACACACACACACTTTCTTGCACTGCAAGAAATGCTTTCCTCAGGTCTGAAACCTGGTAAATCTCTGCCAGGAAAGGGCCTCACTTCTCACTCCCTCTTCCTCCAGCTGTATGCGCGCGCACACACACACACACACACACACACACACAGAACCCTGCTTTGTGCTGGCAAAAAATGGGTGTTAGAAAATGCTCGGTTCTTTCACTGCAGAGAGCAGCTTTCTTTTTGTTTTCTTGGGTAACATGAAAAAAAGGGGTTTCTCTAAAAATCAAGGCCAAGACTATGTGCAGGTTTGAACAGTGTTGGTTGAAAGTAAACTTTGTGATATAATGTTATTTTTTTCACACAAAAAAAAGTTTGCCAGCCAGCTTTTCACTACCAAGGGCATTGCATGTGTGCACACGCACGCATGCACGCTGAACTGAACTATAGTCCTGGAGTCAGTTTCAATGTCCAGGATGAAAAGGTGTCTGCTGCCTGCCAGTGTGGTGGGTGGGAATAGAATAGATGCCTAATGTTTAATAGCCTCCCTCCCTCCCTCTTGCCTATGCTTCACCATTTGTAGACCAACGGCATCCCAGCTTGTGCACATGCACGCACACACACGCACACACCACCCTTTGTCTTTGTTCATGTAGCCCCAATTTTTTTTTACCTTACTTGTGTACTCTCCATCCACATACACTCCCGCCCACCCCCTCTCTCTCCCTGAGTCTTTCCTGCGGTATGGTGGCTTTTTAGATAGAACCCACAGTTTTTTGCACAAGTCTTGATAAAACCAGCCAGTCGCATTGATGTAGGAGTTCAAGCTGGGCAGCTTATTGACTGTGGTAAAATTCTGCCCTGCTGGGGCTTTTCAGGCAAAATAGTGTTTCCACACACCTTCACTGCCCCACAGCTGCGACTTCTTGGGGAAAATACTCTTTCCACACACCTTCCCCAATATCTGGGGGGATTCTGAGGCAAACTAGTCTTTCCACATACCTTCTCCCATGGCTGGGGGGCTTCTTGGGGAAAATAGTCTTTCCCCTACCTTCCCCTATGTCTGGGGGGGTTCTGGGGCAAAATAGTCCTTCCATACACCTTCCCTCATGGCTGGGGGGTTTCTGGAGCAAAATAGTCTTTCCCTCGCCTTCCCTGCCCCATGGCTAGGGGCTTTAGGCTTTAGCATTACAACATTTATGATTTCATTTTTCATTGTGTCTGTCACAACCCAGTGATTTTTGTGCCTCGGCACTATGGAATTTCCTGGCCACACGAGAGCTCCTTTGCACGGCAGAGTGTTCTGCTGCAATTGAGAACCCGCGTGTAGGAGAGAGTTCCCGCCAATTTGCAGTTTCCTTTGCAGGATGCATTTCTTCTTTGCAGCACAGAAATGCACGGTGCAAAGAGTTCCCGCTATTCGAATGTAAATTTGTACCCCGCTATTGGCCAGTGCTAAATTATTCACACGTGGCGGCTAGTAATTGGCTCGCTAGCCGTTTAAAATTCTGTGCGACTTCCGCCCAAGTTGAAGAACTTTGAGCACGCTGCAGAGTGCCTCTGAAGTTATCTGACTTGCGGCTGCCGATCGATAGACTGATCACCTATCGATCTTTCTTCCCGTCACCGAGCACAACCCCCGCCCCACCCCTTCCCCCGCCGGCTGCGAATTGCGGATGGATTAACTGGCTTGGGCCCCGCCAGCTGGAACAACTCGTGTGGTTGTTCAGACGACCGGACCACCTGCGTCGTGATTGCAAGCAGCGTGAGTAAAGTTTTTTTACAACCGATAAGTTGTGTCTGCCTCTCCATTCACCAGCCCGCCCTAACGTACGACCAATTTCTAACGTAACTCGAGTCAGCTCTGGCCATCCGAGACAGTGTCTAGCATACTTTCTGCTGTAATCAAAATATTACTTATGTCTTCCTCCTGAAAAATCACCAAAAACAAATAAATCTTCAGCCAGTCTTTCACTACCAAGGGCATCCCAGCTTCCTTATTCCATGGTGGGCCTTCTCATACAACCAAGCACCCACACACCCACCCACCCACACTCAGCCAGTCCTGTTGATGTAGGAGTTCAAGCTGGGCAGCTTGTTCTGACTCAACTTCTCCAGATTATAGTGCATTAACATTCCTGGGAGCAGTCGGCAGTTTGCAAGCTCTCTCCCTGTCTCTTGCCTCCTGGCTCTGCCTGGGGAAAAAATCCCTCCTCTGGGGTTTTTTATGATATAATATAATATAATATAATATAACAGCTTTGTGATATAATATTATTCTCTTTGCAAGTAAAAAAGGTTTTCAGCTAGCTTCACCACTTGAATACCAACAGCTGCTTCC